GGTTTAATAACATCATCAACAACATAATTATCGATTTTCTTTTTATCATTGGTATCCTAGGTGCTACTTTTGTTCCTTGTCAATTTTACACTACCCAAATGTACGAAAAAAATGTTGTTGGAACCGCTAATGCCTTCGCCGGTGGTTGGGGTAATTTAGGTGGTGGTCTTACTTATATATTAATGCCTTTGGTATTTGATGGTATAAACGCGAGTATTGGAAACCCGAGCATTACATGGCGTGTCTCTCTAGTCATTCCTGCTGGTCTTTGCATAACCATCGCAATATTTAATTTAATTTTTGCTGATGACTATCCTGGTGGTGATTGGATTAAGCGAAAAGATTCTTTAACTGGTGTACATGGTGCAAATGGTCATGTTGAAGAAAAAGTCGCTGAAGTTCATGAAGCCAATGATAAAAAGAAAATCGATAATTATGTTGTTGATGATGTTATTAAACCCAAAGAAAATAAGAAATTAAAGGAATTAGGGAGAGCATTTGTCAATCCACATGTTCTAATCATGATGATGCAATATGCATGCACTTTTGGTGTCGAATTGGCCGTAGATGGTGTTATTGGTGAAATCTTTATTCATGAGTTTCAACTTCCAGTTACAAATGGTAATTTTATTGGTGCTATTTTTGGTCTCATGAACATTTTCTCTCGAGCAACCGGTGGAATGATATCCGATTTTGCAAACCAAAGATGGGGAATGCGCGGTCGTTTGATGAGTCAATTCCTTGTCTTGTTATTGGAAGGCGTATTTTTACTCCTTTTCCGATTCTCGCTTCAAACCTTAGCATCATCTATTGTTGTCATGATTTTCTTTAGTTACTTCACCCAGGTAATTATTTTTTTATAATTGCGTATGTACTTGACGTTTTTTATTTTATTTTATTAATTCATTATAATTAATTACAGGCGGGTTGCGGTACATCATATGGTATAGCACCATTCATAGATCCTGAAATATATGGTACAGTTGCTGGGTTAATAGGGACAGGTGGTACGATTGGTGGTATAGCATTTGCTTCAGTATTCAAATATTATGCCAATTCGCTTTCAACTGGATTCGTGGTGCTCGGATTAGTGGTTATCTGTATCTCATTCACCACTTTTCTCCTGAAAGTTTCAGGTGAAAGGTTGATAAAAAGACAAAAGTAAAAACTTTTTATGACAATTAAAATAATATATTCTTATAACATTGAAAATTAAAACCCTTATACGTATTTACAGACATTTTTATAACAACATGTATAACAACTTGATATAACAACTTTTTATTACAACTTTAACAATTTTCATAACAACTTTCTTTTTTTATAATTGTTAATCAAATGTATCAATAGGAATTTCTTATGTATTTCTTTCTTTTTTTTTTTTTTTTAAAAAAAAAAATTTTATGATTTTTTTTTTAATTAATAATGTTTTGTTTTACCATAAACCTTATAAAATCAATTGACTATATCACACGATTTATGGTATAAAATATAACTGCTTGAACAATTTCAGTGAATCAAAATATCATATTTTAATAATGTTTTCAAGAATATCTTTCAATAATGTCTTTCAAGAATATCACGTTTCAATAATGTCTTTTAAGAATATCTTGAGATTCTTGATTTCTAAGATAATTTCTTAAGTTAATTGTATTGTATAAGGACGCTCTACAATGGTCTAGCCTAAAAGACTCTAGTGAAGAATATCCTAACAGGATTCAAATCGATATTGAATCCGTTTAAAGTATAGATGTCAAATAACGATAATCGATAATTTTGGCATCGAATCTTTGAAGCATTGTTACACGAAATTTCAATTCGAAAAACCATAATCGTTAGGAATACTAATACTAATACTAGCAATACGTATTATGCATTTACAAGATGTTTACAAGTTGTTGTCATTTGATTGGAAAAATATGAACAAATTTTCCGTTTTTTGTTTAGTTTGTGTCAAGTTGTCAATCTATTTTAAAAATTTTTTATTTTTCTTTACGCCCAATGCTAATCATTTCACGCGCTGAAATGCAGGATTGGCTGATGTCAATCAATTACCCAAGTAATTTATTTATAAATATATACAGTTTAACTATTGCTTGAAAAGGTTTCATTGGCTTAGATAAGAAAGGTGGAACCAACTTACTATATTAGAACTGCCGGGAAAACCCGATTTTTATGAATTATCTAGTTTAACCGCATTCATTCAAGTAAGAAACCTGCCACGTCTAAAATAATTTTTGCGTGCCATATGGCATGCCATTTAAAAGTCTTTTTTTTTTCTATATACGTACGTACGTATCAATATGTCGATGTACAGATGTACTGTACGTACGTACGTAGAATTTTATTAGTTATCATTTAGCCAATTAGACTAATTAAGATATGCCCTAATAAACCTTAGGTGTTTTGGCGTGCCAGTGGCATACTACTACGTAATGCCAAGGTGATACGTATGCACATTAGTATCATGTAAATTTTACTGTAAATACCTAGTTGATTAAAAAAAAAAATAATTAAAATATTATAGGTTTTTAATCTTAAAAAAAACCCAAGTTGGTTGGGAAATGAGATTGAACAATGTTTATACCCCCGTTGAGTAGACGGTAAGGGTTGCAGAAAAAAGCAGAAGGTTTAAATGGAAGCCCACAGATGAGTCCTAAGTGCAGCATATAATGAGTCGGGCGGAACCTTAAATGGGCAATCGTGTGTGGCTAAATGTACTCTCCTGATGTAGCCTATATCGAAAATAGACATTCCTTGTACATAATACCAATCTCTTACTTAATAAAAACTCGAAAACCCTTAATATCAAAAAAAAGTTATACATATTGTAAATACAAATAAAACTAAATTTAAATATATATTTAGATTTTATTTTTACTTATGTACAACATGTATTTATTGCAATCAAATTTGTATTCCGATCAAACTCGTACCTTGATCAAATTCGTATCCTGATTAAATCCAAATTTGTATTCTTACCAAATTTGTATTCTTATCAAATTTGTATTCCTATCAAACTTGTATTCTTATCAAATTTTTATTCTTATCAAATTCGTATTCTTATCAAATTTGTATTCTTATCAAATTTGTACGTATCCAATTCGTATCCTGATCAAATTCGTATCCTGATCAAATTCGTATCCTGATCAATTCGTGTCCTGATCAAATCATATCAAATTAGTGTCTCAATCAAATCATATCTCCATCAAATTAGTGTCTCAATCAAATTCGTATCTCAGCTAGAAAAATGCAAGTTTGAAAACATATGAGTGCTTATTATTTTTAATTATTTCTTCTAATTTTCTTGCATAATAATAGTAATAAGTAAAGAATTGTACCAATCAACAATTTTAGATTATATTTGTGAAATATAATAAGTACCGTAAGTAATAATCATTTATCATAAATAATAATTAGTAATAATATGTATGTATGCATAATTACTAGGGCAAAAATTATGTAATTATTACTTATATTATTATTTTATCTATCCTTAATTCTAACCTTCTAATATCGTCTAAAAAATTTAGTTATATATTAAAATTTAAATGAAATAAATAATGATTAATTGATACTAATAATTTATTGATATAAAAATTTTTTATAAATTTTAATGTTTCTTAAAAAGCTATAATTTGCACAAACCATTTTTAAACTGATATCTATGGATGGGCTCTTTTTTTTTAAAGAAATAATGCTATAAGAATCGTAAAGAAAGTACTATTCATATAAGGCTATACAAACTTAATAAATTGGTTCTCATAACCGGCCGGGTCAACTTTTACGAAACTTTAAAAAAAAATTTTATGTATATATACTATCCGGATGAGTTTTTCTAAAAAATTTATAAAAATCTCATGGTTTTTATATGAGTGTCGCTAAAAGAAAACCCGAAAATTTAAATATAAGTCATAT